TTCGAATTCTCCCGTACACCAGGCTGAACTGTGCCAAAAAATCCTGTACAGCTAAAAAAATTTACATTGCAAGAATATAGAAGAAAAGAATAATTGAATGGCATTCACGACCTGTTAAAAGAATCGACCCACTGGGTCAACTTGCTAACCCGAATATATAGTATGTTGTGAATATGAAGAGCTCAATTTCAAAGTCTATAACACGGTTCTGAGCTATGAAAAATGTCCCAAATAAAAATCACTGGCGAATTAATAATCATTTCAAATAAGCCGATTGTAGCAACCAAGTTGACAGTGGAGGTCAGAATGGCTAAAGCGCCATAGATTAAAGCATGAGAGGTAACAGTATGAAAGAAGAAGGTAAGAGTGAGATAAGACGTTTCGGTCCATTAATTTAAATTTAGATATTTTATAGTTATGGAAAATGTCGTAAAAAGATAAAAGTAAAAACAAAAATAAAGTCATATACGCTAAAATAATCTCATATATGTCTTAACTCAACACCGCGCAACAGGACCTCGTCAGTATGACGGTACTGAAAAAAAAAACATATGTTCAACGACAACAAAAAAAGTACTCTGGAAAGCATTCCGATATCAGCACCCGCAATGAATGTGTTTGGTTTTCCGGAAATAAGCACAGCTCCTTTGATACTGTCATTCGCTTCGATATGCTCGATGCATCGTTGTAAGTCGGCAGCAACCGCTTCATTCAGTACGTTTTCCTACAAAAATTCACTTAACACAAAAATTCACGAAAATTCACAAAAAATTCACTCTCAGAAATTCGCAAATTCACAAAAATTTCAAAAATTCATAAAAAATTCAAAAATTCACAAAAATTCACTTAACTTAACTTAAATTTTTCCTATCTTATTTTTTAGGTAAAATGCAATGAATCTGAAGAAATAAATCAAAATAAAATTAAAAAAAAAGCCAAAAGTGGCAAAATGAAGCCGAAAAAAATCAAAAAAAAAAGCAACTGCTTCATTCAGCACATCAAAAATTCACTTGACTTAAAATTATTTCTAACCTATTTCTTCAGGTAAATGTAGTAATTCTGAAGAAATAAATCAAAATAAAATCAGAAAAATCAAAAGCGACAAAATGAAGCCGAAAAAATCAAAAAGCGAAAAATAAAATCAAAAGTTTCTGGAATAAAATCAAAAAAAGGGGTGGGTGACTGTCGATGATATGAGTTATTATTCGGCTCGATGATTCGACTTCTCGATATGCGCCTACAATTGTAATGAAACCAAAAAAAATTAAAAGAAAAAAATAAAATCAAAAAAAAAGCCAAAAATAAAATCCAAAGCCCTCGGAATAAAATCGAAAAAAAAAAGGGGTGACTGTTAATGACGTGAGCTACCATTTGGCTCAACAATTTGACTTCTCGATATGCATCTACAATTGTACCGAAACCAAAAAAATCGAAAAATAAAATCAAAAAAAAATCAAAAAATAAGATCAAAAACTCTTGGAATAAACGCAAAAAACAAAAAAAGGGATGACTGTTGATGACATGAGCCACCACTCGGCTCAACGATTTGACTTCTCGATATGCACCTACCGCTGTACTGATGCTAATTTACTAAAAAAAAATCGTTCGAAATGATAAAAAAAAAACTAACTTTTACACGTGGCAGATTGATTTTTACAACAGCGATG